TATATTCACTCACCAGCACTTCCCTGCTAGCTCCAGAGGATTCCAGCATAGATATTCATTCTCAGCATCGCAGCTCCACTACAACTGGTTGGAAGCAACGGGATACAGACCTCACAGTGGAAGGAAGCCACGGTTCGGTGGATAGCAGCGTACGAATGGAGATGAACTACTCCGTTCTTAAACAAACAACATTAAAAGAAACCCTCGAAACAAGAGGTAAGGAAAGCTACTAATGGAGGGAGACAGAGTCAGCAGTGCTGCACCTCTATCAGCTATGGATGAAACAGAGTTTCAGAGGGAAGTACGGATAAGGCTGGCAATTTACAGCGGAACCCCCTCAGATGAAACCGTGACCAGAGTGATGGCGGAGGCACAGGCATACATAGTGACCAGAGAGCAGCGGGCAAACCAGCTACGTTTGGCAGACTGGCAGTCCAGAGAAGGATCCCAGCGATGTTTGCCAACCAAGAGGGAAAACCTAAGATACCTTATAATGCATTTAAAACTTTCTCGAACACAGAGGAAGAAATTGACGGCTTTCTACAAGATCAGCCGTGAGGACTGGGTACTTCTTTTGGCAGGCAAACTGTCTGGATACAATAAGAAAAAGAAGAAAAAAGGCTGCGCACACAGATAAAATTGGAAAAAAAGTTATTTTTAAATAAAATAAAGTCCAATTGGAAAGAAGGAAAAGTCCAATATTATTGTCCTTACAGATAGTCTTTGCTGTTGACGTCTTCTACTTTGTAGTGAGTCCACTTATATGAAAGATAAAAAGAGAGAGGGGACAACCAATAGTGTAGTATGTAGAGTTCTAATATGGATGTGTAGAAATAATAATATAAAACTCACATTTATCAGAGCTAATGTCCTAGCTCTGGAATAAAGCGCATACGGCGGTTTGATCCCCGCTTATGGGATATAGATGGGTTCCTCTCTGTGATACGTGTCCAGTTTCTCTAAATAAAAGAGACAGCCAATAGTGCTCACTGTATAGCAATATTGATAAAATAATAAAAGAATGTACTTACAAAACCAGAGCAGACCAACTGCTCCGTGATGACAGCTTGGGTGGATTGATCCCCACCTTGGATTTCTTTAAATGCAGGAAACTTCCAGGGGTTTTCAGGTTTTTTTAAAAACCAATAAAAATAATAATTAAAAAGCCAGGGTAAAAAGAGTATTATGTGTCTATAAAAAAAGATTATTGGCACAAACAAATGACCAAAAATACTTTAATATATTTACAAACACAATAATTAAATATCCATAACGCGTTTCGTCTAAGACTTTATCAAATGGAATAACAGATGATACCTGGCTTGTAGGTGTTATATAGGAACATAACTCATTTGAATTTGGCGCCAAAAATTGGTCCGTCCAATCAGAAACAAAATCACATTTAAAACTTAAAATATGTTCAAAACTTAGTCAGTATACAATTTATAGTAATATAACTTGTTTCTAATGGTTAGAAATCAAAAACGAGGGTTGGAAAGTATAATTTAGAACATTTTAAAACAATCACGTGACATACGGCACTTCCGCATTTCGGAAGTTTTCGCCGCAATGCCTTATGGGAAATGTAGTTAAAAGTTAGCCGCGACCGGCGGCCGCATACAGAAGTAAAAAAAACCATAATCATACATAACCTAAGAAGATTTAGTGCCTTGGAGGCATTTTCATTGTAGAGCATAGATTTTAAGTTATAAATAAAACAGGTAGGCAGGGGGGCACATAACTAATACATTACTTCCTCAAAATGGAGGTTTTTGCCCAAGTGCAACCTGGGAAATGTAGTTATCTTTAAAAATAAATAAATAAAAAATGAAGTATGGAAGTTTCACCATTGCAAATTAAAATAAAGATATACAGAATAAGAACTTAATTTGTAAAATACTGGCAACATTAATACAATAAAAAATAGATGTATAAAAAGGGATTGTATACATAAAAGGAATATATAAGCCATTCATATTATAGACAGCAATAAATAATACAAATATTATTTAACATAAAAGTCATAAAAAATTGTGTAGATCAAAGTCAGCATTAAGACCATGGGGTATAAGAGTCTGAAGTTTATACACCCATTCCATCTCGGTTTTTCCAAAAAACTGCTTGGAAAAACCGAGATGGAATGGGTGTATAAACTTCAGACTCTTATACCCCATGGTCTTAATGCTGACTTTGATCTACACAATTTTTTATGACTTTTATGTTAAATAATATTTGTATTATTTATTGCTGTCTATAATATGAATGGCTTATATATTCTTTTTATGTATACAATCCCTTTTTATACATCTATTTTTATTGTATTAATGTTGCCAGTATTTTACAAATTAAGTTCTTATTCTGTATACCTTTATTTTAATTTGCAATGGTGAAACTTCCATACTTCATTTTTTATTTATTTTTAAAGATAACTACATTTCCCAGGTTGCACTTGGGCAAAAACCTCCATTTTGAGGAAGTAATGTATTAGTTATGTGCCCCCCTGCCTACCTGTTTTATTTATAACTTAAAATCTATGCTCTACAATGAAAATGCCTCCAAGGCACTAAATCTCCTTAGGTTATGTATGATTATCGTTTTTTTTTTTTTTATTTCTGTATGCGGCCGCCGGTCGCGGCTAACTTTTAACTACATTTCCCATAAGGCATTGCGGCGAAAACTTCCAAAATGCGGAAGTGCCGTATGTCACGTGATCGTTTTAAAATGTTCTAAATTATACTTTCCAACCCTCGTTTTTGATTTCTAACCATTAGAAACAAGTTATATTACTATAAATTGTATACTGACTAAGTTTTGAACATATTTTAAGTTTTAAATGTGATTCTGTTTCTGATTGGACGGACCAATTTTTGGCGCCAAATTCAAATGAGTTATGTTCCTATATAACACCTACAAGCCAGGTATCATCTGTTATTCCATTTGATAAAGTCTTAGACGAAACGCGTTATGGATATTTAATTATTGTGTTTGTAAATATATTAAAGTATTTTTTGGTCATTTGTTTGTGCCAATAATCTTTTTTATAGACACATAATACTCTTTTTACCCTGGCTTTTTAATTATTATTTTTATTGGTTTTTAAAAAAAACCTGAAAACCCCTGGAAGTTTCCTGCATTTAAAGAAATCCAAGGTGGGGATCAATCCACCCAAGCTGTCATCACGGAGCAGTTGGTTTGCTCTGGTTTTGTAAGTACATTCTTTTATTATTTTATCAATATTGCTATACAGTGAGCACTATTGGCTGTCTCTTTTATTTCGAGAAACTGGACACGTATCACAGAGAGGAACCCATCTATATCCCATAAGCGGGGATTAAACCGCCGTATGCGCTTTATTCCAGAGCTAGGACATTAGCTCTGATAAATGTGAGTTTTATATTATTATTTCTACACATCCATATTAGAACTCTACATACTACACTATTGGTTGTCCCCCTCTCTCTTTTTATCTTTCATATAAGTGGACTCACTACAAAGTAGAAGACGTCAACAGCAAAGACTATCTGTAAGGACAATTACATTGGACTTTTCCTTCTTTCTAATTGGACTTTATTTTATTTAAAAATAACTTTTTTATTTTTTTCCAATTTTATCTGTGTGCGCAGCCTTTTTTCTTCTTTTTTCTGATTTTGCAACAATAACATGATGGTCCGTAAACATGTTTTACAGTTACCTCTCCTTCATATCTCATCCCAGTAAACACACACAACACTCTACACGCACAACATTAAGTTTCCAACACACACACACATAGACGACACTTAGCATACAGGGCTCTGGGAAGGGGTTCCAATCCAGCCTTCTATTTTAAAAGCATTTACTGTAAATTTGATTTTTCCACTAGAAAAAGTATCAGTCATTGATTTTGTATTATGTATGTATATAGTATGTGTACACCTTCTTATATTCATTGACTCAGGAGTAGACCCATTGTCTGCTTAATATAAGGTACATTTGGGTCAATAAAAATATAAACAAAATGCATAATTGATTGAAATTACGATATGAAATACTATGCTAGTTATATATGTTCAATATATATACCATGTCAATGTTTATCTCTGTATAATATTACAATATTTACATTAAAACTTAGAATTTCTTAACTCACAATTTCTTTTCCGTTCTTGATAAATACATATGTTTATCTTACAAATAGTTCCCTTAACGGACAATTTTAGTTTCATTATTTCATAATTGTTGTAATGGACTATAAATGTATATGCATGTAACATATTTTATATATGTTGCACAAATAATGTATTAATTTATGAATGAAACATATTTGTTTTCAGAATTCATCTATGCATTGAATATTTTCAGCAAAATGGATAAAACAAGCTTGATTCCGATCCACATACCAACAATTTTAATGTTGCTATTTTCATCTAAAAGAAAGTTTTCAATTTTCAAATCTCTGCAAATCAAAAAGAAAATGCAATTACTATACATTCATTAAAATTTCTGTTAAAACTAGGAATGTGATTATCAACAGCACCACTATTTAATAATTATTATTCTCTTCTGCAAATTCTTTATTAAGGGAATAAATTGCTAAAAGCTTGATTCGCTAAAAAGTGAAGTGTGATTAGTTGATAACAGAGTATTAAAAAGAATACCTCCTTCAGCAGGGGCACTTCTGTAATTATGCCCCCAGGGAGGTAAGTCTCCACACGACATTCTGATTATTGGCCAACAGTTTTTTCAGCCAAATAAAAAAAATTGAGTCATCCATACATTTTTATAAAGTTAGAATAGTTTTAATCAATTTGTTTCCAGGCCATCATATGCTTTTCAAGTCACCTTTGATGTACCTATACAATTCTAAATGTACATATGAATTATCTAAAACACAGCTATTCAACTTGCTGCATCTAATTTTAAAAATACCTAACTTAGAAAAGCATTTCAAATGTGTTATAGGAGTCAGAAAGGGATTTTAGAGACAAGAGAAGTCATTATTTTAGATGGAAAGTTGTTACCTATGTACAATTCCATGGCGGTGTAAATGGTCCAGTGCAGACAATAATTGTCTGGTGTACCGCCTTACATCTCGTTCATCTAGTCTCTTTTTATCACAAATTCTATCCATTAGATCTCCTCCTAGGCATAGTTCCATCACCATGTAGTATGAGTTTTCTGTCTCTAGTGTTTCATAAAGTTGAACGATATTTGGATGTTTAATCATTTGGTGAATTCTTGGCTCTCTTTTCATGTTTTTTAGAACATAAGAGTCTTGCTTGGCTTTCTTTTTGTCAATAACTTTCATAGCAACCTATAATATTGTATAAAAGTAAAACATGCATGAGAAACATTCTCACAAAACGTATAAATTACAAACCACATCAACATTACCATTCATATTGTATAATGTGTGTGCATAACTAATTTTCCAAAAGACATACTAACATCTTGTTGTTCTTTCAACTTTCACCATCTCATAGTCAGTTATAATGTATGTGAAATCAGTTTTAATATAAGTCCTACCTAGCCTTGCAGTGTTTTTTTTTTAGCTATATATTAATGGCTGATGTTTTAGAAGTGCTAATTCTTCTTATGGAGTCTTGGTAAACAAAAACACCACACACATATATTGATCAATAAAAAATGTAAAAAATAATTTTAACATATTTCCAAGAAACTATTAAAAACAAAGTTTGCATACCCTTGGAGAATTGGTAATATATGTACCATTTTTAAAGAAAACACGAGTGAGCAGGTAAAAAATATTTATTTTATTTCTTATGGGATGTATATTCAACTGTAGTTTATAACAGAATGTCATCATAAAACAAAACATGGCAAGAAAGAAAGAAATGAAATGAAATGACCCCTGTTCAAAAGTCTGCATACCCTTAGTTCTTAATACTGTGTATTGCCCCCATTAGCAATGACAGCGTGCAGTCTTTTGTAATAGTTGTCTATGAGGCCTCTAATTCTTGCAGGTGGTATAGCTGCCTATTCGTCTTTGCAAAATGCCTCCAGGTCATGCCAAGTCTTTGGTTGTCTTGCATGAGCCGCACGTTTGAGATCTCCTCATAGTGGCTCAATGATATTAAGGTCAGGAAACTGTGATGGCCAGTCCAGAACCTTCACCTGTTTCTGCTGTAACCACTTAAGGGTCAACTTGGCCTTGTGCTTAGGGTCATTGTCATGCTGGAAAGTCGAAGACTGTCCTATGCTGCATGCTGCATTCATCTTGCCATCAATTTTAACATGATTCCCAGTGTGTTTAGAGCTCATACATCCCCAAAACATCATTGAGCCACCCCCATGCTTCACAGTGTTTATTGTATTCTTTTCACTATAGGCCTTGTTGACCCCTCTCCAAACATAGCGCTTATGGTTATGACCATAAAACTCTATTTTGGTCTCGTCACTTCAAATTACAGTGTGTGCTAGATGTGAGGCGTGTCAACGTGTTGTCAGGCATATTGCAACCGGGCTTTTTTGTGGCATTGGTGCAGTAAAGGCTTCTTTCTGGCAACTCGACCATGCAGCTCATTTTTGTTCAAGTATCGTCGTATTGTGCTCCTAGTAACAACCACACCATCTTTTTCCAAAGCAGCCTGTATTTCTCCTAAGAATACCTGTGGTTTTTTTTTTTGTATCCCAAACACTCCTTCTGGCAGTTGTGGCTGAAATCTTTCTTGGTCTACCTGACCTTGGCTTGGTATCAAGAGATCCCTGAATTTTCCACTTTTTAATAAGTAATTGAACAGCACTGACTGGCATTTTCAAGGCTTTGGATATCCTTTTATATCCTTTTCCATCTTTATAAAGTCCCATTACCTTGTTAGACAGGTCTTTTGACAGTTCTTTTCTTCTCCCCATGACTCTGTATTTAGCCTGCTCAGTGCATCCCCATGAGAGCTAACAAACTCATTGACCATTTATACACAGATACTAATTGCAATTTAAAAAGCTACAGGTGTGGGAAATGAATCTTTAATTGTCATTTTAACCTGTGTGTGTTACCTTGTGTAACAAGGCCAAACATTCAAGGGTATGTAAATTTTTGATCAGGGCCTTTGGGTGGTTTATGTTATCATTATGATTTAAAAAGGAGCCAAACAACTATGTGATAATAAAGGCTTCATATGATCACCGTCCTTCAATAAAACACATTTTTGCATCATTAATGTGCTCTCTAACATGTTATTCACTAAAGTGAGAATTATTGGGAATTCAGAGTGAATTTCAAATTTAAAGCCAGAATAACTGAACTGGATAATGTGTCTATTTAACCCTTAAATCTGAACTTAACTTTGAATTTAATTTCTATTCTTGACATTTCTCACTTTAGTGATTAACACTGTCAATATTTTTAGCATATAATGTTATTTTATGTGGGATAGACTAAAGATTAGACTATCTGATGTCTGTCCATTCACTGAGACTTTTTTTTTTATATCCCCTTCACCCAGGGCTGAACTGGGAAAAAATGTGACCCAGGCATTTTAGGGCAGAGCAGTTCAACAGGATGGGAAAGGGACAGGAACAGAGAGGGAGTGTTTTATGTCATCACAAATGACATGCATATCTCCCCTTAAAGTGAGCATGTTAGTTGTATCCCTCCAGGGAAAATCCCTGTGTTTTATTTTCAAGCATTAGAAGTAAATTTAATCATTTGCTTGTGCTACATTAACTGGTAAATTGTCCCTGGAGACCCCATTAGCGGCATACCAAGAACAGGGCCTGTAATGGGTATTGTGCAAGTGGCTGCCTTTGATGTTGTATGTGTTTGATGGTTGCCCACTTAGGGCTATTTAAATTCAGTTTGGCATTTGTACCCTGCCATGTCATGGTTTCCATCCTGGTAATCTGAGAGTGCACTGAATCTATTGATTCTACTGTGTTTTTTGACTATTGGCTTGTACCTGGACTATTTTGACTTCTGTATTCCTTGACCTTTGGCTTGTATTACCGTTTACCTTCATCAGCTTGTCTTGGCCATTCTAAGGTCCAGTAATACATTTTAGGGTTGGGTATTAGACTATCCTGACAATGTATTTGTCTAGTATGTATATAGGGGCTGTGGTGTGCATGTGTTTGTATAGTGCTGTTGTGTATATGTATGTATAGGGATAGCTGTGTGTGTAGGGGGTATAGTGTGTGACAAGATAGAGGATTCAGAGTGCAAAGAATCATATTTAAATATTAAATATATTCACAATTTTAATACAATTAACAATTATTAAAGCATATTTATTGTCCCGTCATTTTTGTTACCTTTGAGAGAGTGTGGCTGAGTGCACCTTTCAGCAGGTGCAGGTCATGTTTCTCCCATGAGCTCCGGCATCACTAAGAGCATTGCCATGGTAACCTGTGGCAATGTTCTTCGTGACTGGAGTTCGCTGAAGGAAAGCACCACTGTCCCATGAAGTTCCTTCTTTAGACTGGGACTCACTAGAGTTGGCCAACCAAGCTGGCCGGGGGCCCCAAGCAGAGCCGGTGCTTCCTTTAAGGCTGCAGCCGCCTGAACGCTCTATAGAGAGCCTCGGGCGGCTGCAGCACTCCTCTCTTGTCACCTCCGCCCTCCCCTCCCTGTAGCGCGTTCGAGCTCCTCTTCCTCCTGTCAGTCTGGCCGGGTACCGTGCGGTACAGGAGATTCAGTTTCCTGTTCCCGGCCGGACTGACAGGAAGTTCACACTGAGTGCTCACTTCCTTTCAGTCCGGCCGGGAACAGGAAACTGAATCTCCTGTACTGCATGTACAGACTGACAGCCAGGAGGAAGAGGAGCTCGGCCATGCTACAGGGAAGAGGAGATGAAAGGAACATGGGGGGGTAAAAGAACATAGGGAGGGAGGAATGGGAAGGGGGGATTTTAAAAACAAAGTGGGAGGAGGGAGTAAAAAAACATAGGGAGGGGGGAGTAAAAATAACATGGGGGGGGGCACAGTATATGCAATAGCAGTATTTGCACTGTAAATTTTTTTTATTTATGCATAGTATATGCAACAGCAGCATTTGCACTATAAACCTTTTTTATTTATATAAAGTGTGGGTGAACTTAAACTCTATGGCCATGCTGGTTCCTGTAGGCTTTGCGTGCGTGGTGGTGGGGGTTGGGAGGCCTCCATGTCCATTTTGCTTGGGGCCCCCAAATTCCTTCAAACGGCCCTGGACTGAGTAAATCCTTCTCAATGCTGGCTTTGTCTCAAGACCATCATGGTTCACCAGGCATTTGCCTAGTTTACCTGATGGACAATCTGGGCCTTCCGTCACCATTAATGTTGCATATATGGAATGTCTGAATATTTGACATTATATTGCTTTCATGATATTTGGATACAATTCTGATATTTTGGACAATATCATGAAACATTTACCACTCTTTGCTAATAAGGTACTTGAGTAGTAGTTTCATACATTAAGTTATGGAACTCTAACATTCTTTTTTTCGAATTATATGTATAAATAAGAAGTATTCCTCTATCTATTTTATTATTGAAACACTGAAATGTGCTTTATGTTTTGAGGTAAACTTTAGTTAGTTTCATGAACAGTGAATCACTTGGCATAGCTTTTGTTCTAAAATGTTTGTGTGTTGTGGAAAACACTTTTAACCTCACTTAACACCTGAGCTTTAAATCTTGATTTGCATAGCTTATTTTCTATGATTAAACATTCCACTGTGAGAGAGATTTATTAAAGTATGGTTAATATGACAAAGTTATCATAAAGGGATCACTTGTCTTGTCTGACAAAACCCCCCAAAAGTTACCCGATCCAAGAAAAGGCATAGGTTTTATGAACCCCTACACACCCTACATTGCTGCAGCACTATAGTCGCCCGAACAACTACAGCTCATTGTAGTTCTGGTGAGTATAGTCAGTCCCTGCAGGCTTTAAACACTGTCTTTTCAGAGAAGCCTCTGCATGGAGACGCAGAACTTTCCTCATAGAGATACATTGATTCTATGCATCTCTATGAGGACTTGCTGATTGGCCAGGATGGCATTTGGCCCTGTGCCTACCCAGCCTCCTTGGCGATCTTTCCCTACGGTAAATCATTGGATTGGAAAAAAAAGGTAAGTTTAACCTTTTCTACGGGGCCTAAGGGGGGCAAGCCACCTAATGCATGTTCCTGACCATATAATGTTCCTTTGAGGGTTAGCAAGGGTGTAGGAGTTTGTAAAAAAAACAAACAAACAAAAACCCTCCAACATTATTGGCTCATTAGAGATTTTGCCTTTTAGCTGAAAACAGCAA